TAATTTCAGCACAACATTGTGAACCCATCAAAATTTAATGACAACTCCAAATGAGTGCAAAACGTCAAACAGTTAATGCCATCCCGCGGAATACAAGCATACCAAAGAAGCCGTCTTTCTTTATCGCTACTACCTATTTAGAGTCATCCCAGGACGAAAACCCATCGAAGGAAAATAGGACACATAATTCACACACAATAACTCAATTTGCGGCTTAAGCAGTCAAACACCGCAATTCAGTAAATTCATCACAACTTTATGAAGCCATCACAATTGAGTGACAATTGACAACCCAATGAATGCAAAACATCAAACCGTTTAAGCGCATTCCAATTCAACACCCAAATCATAAATCAGCACTCGAAAAAGCAATTGCTTCGGAACTTTTCGGTAAATTTTATTAATAATCTCAGCTGTATCTAAGCAATTGTCCACCAAAGTACCACATAAACTACAAATTAGAAGGCCTAATCTACAGCAATGGTTCAACTGAACATTCTACAATTTCCAATTCAATGTGCAGCAAGAATGTCCGTACTAAACAGATCGATTATCGGATCGGGCGAGTCGTGAACCGGGCTCGAGGGGCTGAGGAACATAACCGACTTGGACGCCGCAAGCTTCTTCCGCTGGGGACATCTGGGGCCGTAGATCCGACCCGAGAAGCAAGGGAATCCCTCCATCGCGCTGGCCTGGGGAAGACCCGCGTCGGGCCCCGGAGATAACGGCGGCGATACACAGATCTGAGAGAGCCAGTTGAGCTGGTGCGATCTGGCCCTGCTGATTCGGGAGTCTCGGATTTGGGCTAGCGCGCCGGGCTTTAGGTATTTGAGAAATGGCTCGGCCGACCGGTTGGGGGAGGACCGTCGGTGGAGTCTAGATCGGCGTTTCATGGCTGAGAGAGAGAGAGAGAGAGAAATGTAAGATTTGGTGGTGGTTTGGAGAGATAGGGAGGGTTAGGTTTTGGGGGCTTTTAATGTTTGGGAGTGGGAGCAGAGAGAGGCGGGAAGAAGTGGAGGGAGAGGACGCTGCCGGGGTTTCAAAACCAAAGATTTGAGGCGCGGAAACTTCAACAGTAGGGTTTTATTTTTTATTCATTTTATTTTTGGCGTGGCACTGTGGTGTGGTCCCTTTTTGCAATCTCCATCATTCGTCATTTGTCATCTCATATTTTTAGTGCAATGTTTTATAATTTTGTTACGAGTTATGCCAAAAAACATGATATTGCTAAAGTTCATGGAACATCTCACATTTAAAAGAGTATTCTTAGTATTTCTCCTACATGTTACAACTTGTGTGAAAGAAATTGTTACTGAAGATGTCAAAGAAATAGAGTGAAATGTAAAATTTATTTGAAGGAAACGAAATATTAGTGAAAGATGTTTTATTACGTTGTAATGTAATAGTATTGATATTATTTATGAAAAGAGTAGATTGTATTTTTTATGAATAATGTTATTCTCATCTTAATGTCTTATTTTTTTACCTACCTTTTAATGATTTTTTTAATTACGTCCATTTGCAAAAAGATTGATAAGGACATTAATTATTCTGTTTTGCTTAATTTAAAAACAAAAGTTGTGTGTGGAAGACGATTTGTCTACCTTAAACCCTAATTCATATTTTCATCTCCTTTCATTCAGAGAAAGTAAAAAAATATCAATGGACTTAGAAGATGACTTTTTCATTAAACATGTGGAAGATGACGTTTTTTATGGAAGAGATAAAAGATTATATTTGCATTGAAAATGTAGAAGAATAATTTGTGTGCAGGTCATTTGAATTTGTCCATTGTATTTTTGAAATTTTCATTGTCGAATTCTTTTAAATTTGGATACATTTGTCGTTTTCATTTGAATTTGCAAACCTTAGTGGTTTTCATTTACATATTATTTGTTTTTTTTAAAGACAATTTAATAATTTCATATGTATGTATATATTAAAGGTTATTTTGGGAATAATAGTGGGTAGAGAAATAGCATTTTAATTTTTTAACTTTTTTGGGTGAGTGGGATTATAATGTGAGTGGAAAATAAGACAAAAGTGTGGGTCTAATAGATCTTTTTTTTTTTAAACAAACAATATTTTCTACAAATGGAGTGGGAGTGGGCTAATTATCGCAATAGGCTAGCAATATTTTGGTTCAAATTTACATTTGGCGACAATCGAACTTAAGACCTCTTACTTTCAAGTGAAGAAGAATATCACTAGACCATAGTACTAAGTAACTTTTTTTTACTTTTTTTTTTTTTTTAAATTACTATTATTAAGAAGAGAGAGTTTAAAACTACTACATTAATTTATGAGAGATAAGAGTTTCGTGAACCTCTCACTTTCAAATCCTATAAACGATAATTGTTTATGGATGTGACGATATTTTGAAATGGAAGAGGTCACGGAATTTCCCTTTTTTTATTATGGCAGCAGCCAAATATAGATCAGTGCATTTCTATGGGACAAGAAATTTTTAGTTGTGACGAGAACACAAGTGGTACACCAGGTGTTTTAATAGGAGTGGTAGGAAATTTTATTTTTTAAGTTATTAACTTTTTAGCATACATATTCCACTATTTGTATAGTGACACGTGGTGTACCATACTTATCCCACCATTTATATAGTGATACGTAATGTACCATTCCGTGTACTGATCACATTGAAAAATCTCTCCTATGGGACAATTTGAGGGGGCAAAACGTGAAGAGTCGTAAGAGCTCTTGTACAAAAGCTTGTGCATCCCGATATGGGGCAATATACTTCGTCACATATGTGCCCTTTGATGATTTAATTACTTCATTTGAGTGCCTACGATGACTTTGACACCTATTTTTTGGATATTAATACTACAAGCACTATATGAAGAGTCGTTAGACACATTTTTAAGAAACTTTGTATACTTTGCAATGATTCTTCATTAATATATTGAAAAGTCAAGAATATGGTTGCAGCATCATTATCGAATTGAGTAATGTTCAATAGACCAAATTTTTTAAATTAAATTTACAAACTAAATGATATGGTTGTAGATGATTAGATTATTAATTAAGTGTCGATTAATGTGTTTTTTTCTTATTGATAACACATCATTTGTTTTGCAATTTGGTTTAAAATTTTTGATCTCTATATCATTGCTCTATCGAATTACAATAGTCCATTTGAGTTCAATCAACTCGATAAAATGATACCTCTTTTGTCTGAGTTTGAATCTCGATTTTCATATCATAAATAATTTCGTAAGGAGACTCACCCGACTTAACAAAAATTTCGTGATAACTTATAAACCAATAATAACGTGATGACTACAAGTCTACAACTCAAACTTTCTCCTCGGACATGATGTTTAGTCATTTCTAAATCTTCATTTGATAACTTTTTTCAAAGATGATAAAAGGACGAAGAAACTTCTCAAGAGAATTTCAATCGTCCAACTTTACCAATAGATTATTAGTCTAAGTCATCTAATAGGCCCTACATTCTCTTGAAATAAACTTTTTATTAAGGGAGACCTAATAAGTAAACTAAAATATAATATTAGGCTCATGTATTTCAACGACTCAAGATCTAACCGTCTATCTTTTATATCTTATATCAAATATCATTTATACAAAAAAAAAAAAAAACTCAAATTGATAAAACATGACCGTTTGATTAAATTTAGTGTTTATTTGCAGAACCGTATCTGTCAAATTTTCTTCACTATGAATGAATGTCTTAATGGTTTTGAATTTGTCTAATTTTTTACAAGAATGATGTAGAAATAATGTACTAAAATATAGACGATTTTATATCGTTAAAATACATTACAAAATGAACTCTACAGAATAAATGCTAAAATGCTGGTTAAAAGCGTGCGTCAACCCTGATCCATAAATAATAAAGTAAAAAGAAGACATAATTTGCAGCGTCTTTTTGGGGTTGGAAATATGAGAAATGAATGGTAGCCTACCGAAGTGGCAAAAGGCAATTAGCAATTTGACACCCTACTCGTCCGGATTCGAATTCCCTTCCGAGAAAGTGGAATAGTAGGATGTGGCACCACTTGTCAAAGTCCATTGGAAAGTCACTTTCGGGAGGTAGAATATTATTAGGGATTTGTTTACTATTTTATTCTCCCAACTTCACGTAAATAGAGTAGTTTTTTTTGATAAAATGACCATAAAATCCGAATCTGTGCACATGTTCAACAACACAAAAAGGGCACAATAATGTACTATTTTAAAAATAATATGAACGAATAAGCCTTAATTGATTGAAATATTGGAACTCATACTTTATGAGAGTGCTTGACGAGTAACCATCTCATTAGTTAAGCTACTAATATCTAAGGTGAATGATGTCAGATTGTATTTCAAGTCATTTATGAAAAACTAAAATGCACGCACATTAATACGTGATGAACTCGATACATCAACAATGACATACTTAATGTAGCTAAATTTGTCTTTGTTCGAATAATGCAATGATCAGTTTATACTATTGAATTGTTTATCTAATTAAGATGAATGCAATAAAAGGAGAAAAACTCCGATGACAACTGACAAACCACCCTCACTGAGACAGCGCATGTATGCGTGGAATGTTGTACTTACATAAGGGGGATGATACCTACATATCATAGCATATGTTTGTGAGAGTGTCTAACTATTTACCAAGTCAGGGTGCCTTTACGCAAGGTGATGAAACTATGATTGAATTTCAAGTAAAACACATACTACCATATAAATAAATCAAAATACACAACAGTACATGATTCACTTGATACACTTTGTTAATCCTTTATACATCAAAAAATCACATTTAACCGTTGATACATATGAAAACATTCCACGTTGCGTGGTGGACATCGGAGCTTGTTTCTGGAGTACGTAATTACAAATTGAACATTAGTTTTCGGGTCAAACAATTAGGAAATAGACAAAGAAGTTATGTGGAAATACTTGATTGGACATTGTCCTATTAATGCTCCTTCCACCTCCCCGCGCCTCATAGAACCCTCTCTCTCTCTTTCTCCCTTCTCTCTCTCACAGGCTCAGCCCAGCCAGTCTACTTCTAGAAGCGCGGCACGCAGCCCTAGACCCCATTCGCTCTCCACACGCCTCTTCCTCCTCCGCTCCCTTCCATAACTCCTCTGTCTTTGTCTCTCTCTCTCTCTCTCCTCAATCATCACACGCTCTCTGTCTCTCTCTAATCAAATCCTTATCCGCTGTCATCGTTTTGTCTATGATTGCGTGATCGTCGTCATGTATATGAACACAGCGTCCTGCTCTGCCTCGTCCCTCCTCAGAGCTTCTAGGGCTCGATTTTTCTCGTCCTCCTCCTCGGCCGTCTCCAGAACCTTCGTTTCTTCGCCCATCAGGCCGTCGCACCACCACTTCGCCTCCCTTCGCTTTCTCAGCTCCTCCTCCGCCGCTCGCTCCTTCCCTCGCTGGAGCCACGGCGGTGTCCATTGGCGCTCCCCCTACACGCTTCGCTCACAGATCAGAGCCGTCGCTCCCGTCATCGAACAGTTCCAGCGCAAGATCGCTTCCATGGGTACGGGTCTCCTCTCATTCCGGAGTTCTCGGGGTTTCTATTTTCGGATTGTTCATCGAGTTTGTATTTTTTATCTGAATCGTTATTGTTTTGTGGTTGTTTTTGAAAATCTGGATTGGTTTTGGTGTTTTTGAAGCTTCTGCAGCTCAGCTGCTATTGCTTTGTAGTTGCGAAATGAATACTGTTTGGCTGCTGAGAAAACTGAAAAATGACTCGGAAACTCTTTTGAATTCGATCTAATTCTCGTATTTCAATTCATGAAACACTTTTCTTATTGAATGAATGTGACACTGGTGTTGTAGAATCTGAATTTTTAGATAGAAAACTTGAAATTGTGGGCTTTTCTGGTAATTTTATAAATTTATTTTTAGAAATTGGTTTTAGAGTCTTAATTTGGGTTCTGATCGTTCATCTGTGTGGTTGCAGCTTCCGAAAATCCTTTCAAGGCAAACTTGACCAGTCTTCCCAAGCCCGGAGGCGGCGAGTTTGGCAAATTCTACAGCCTTCCTTCTCTGAACGACCCAAGGATTGGTAACTTTCTAACACTCAGTTATCTGAATACTATTTTCCGGTTTCGTGTAATTGTACGATTATTTATATCCTCTTGTGCGTATATGTAACAGATAAGTTGCCCTACTCTATCAGAATCCTTCTGGAATCTGCTATCCGTAATTGCGATGGCTTCCAAGTCAAGAAGGAGGATGTTGAGAAAATTATTGATTGGGAAAAGAGTGCCCCAAAGCAAGTCGAAATTCCTTTCAAGCCCGCTCGTGTGCTCTTGCAGGTAATTCGGGAGTATCATTTACCCTTTGTAGGATATATAGAAGACAAAGTTATTGAGTATATTTTTTTTTTCTTTTTCCAATGCTTATATGACTTTGTTTCCAGGACTTTACTGGAGTTCCAGCTGTGGTCGACCTTGCTTGTATGCGTGATGCTATGAACAATCTTGGGAGTGATTCTAAGAAGATCAATCCTTTGGTATGTGGAGTTCTTAACTTCTTATTATGTGCATTCAGTCTTGTTATTTCAGTTACTGTACCAGGGATTTGGTATCAGCACTTTCGATCATAACTCAATTGTAAACTTGTAATTGCAAATTTAGTGTATTTTTTGTGCCCCTTTCAGATATTGTACTCACTGTATTCGCTGCTACATTTGTTTTAGTATGTATGTTTAAACAAAATTCTGCATCATGCAGGTTCCTGTAGATCTTGTTATTGATCATTCAGTTCAAGTTGACGTTGCAAGATCAGCAAATGCAGTGCAGGCCAATATGGATCTTGAATTCCATAGAAACAAGGAGAGATTTGCTTTCCTTAAATGGGGTTCGACTGCTTTCCATAATATGCTTGTTGTTCCACCGGGTTCTGGCATTGTTCATCAGGTAAGGACTAAATAGTATGTTTTTTGTCATTTAATAGCTATGTATACTTATGTAACCTTTGTGTCTCTGTAGAAATTTTTAATTCTCATGGATTTGGTTTAAAATTAGTGGACATGTTGTAATTTCAGGTTAATCTTGAATATCTTGGACGGGTTGTTTTCAACAATGATGGCTTACTCTACCCTGATAGTGTGGTTGGAACTGATTCCCATACAACCATGATTGACGGGTTAGGAGTTGCTGGATGGGGAGTTGGAGGTATTGAAGCTGAAGCTACTATGCTTGGCCAGGTAATGTGAAGTCTTGAAAATTACATAAGGAGATTAGAAGGCATTTTTAATGTGATTGTTTAATACACCTTGATGCACGCTTGCATCGTTGCATGCTAATAGTTTAGACTCACTTCGAATTTTATTCTAATGCAATATTCTTTGAAATTGACAGCCAATGAGCATGGTGTTGCCTGGTGTTGTTGGGTTCAAGTTATCTGGAAAGTTAAACAATGGTGTTACTGCTACTGACTTGGTTTTGACTGTCACGCAAATACTGAGGAAGCACGGAGTTGTCGGAAAATTTGTTGAATTCTATGGTAAGATGATTCCGATTATGTGTAATTTTAAGTAATAATTGCATTTGTTATGTGCTGGCTATATAATGGGTTCGTGTTTGTATGTGTCTGCAGGGGATGGTATGGGTGAACTATCATTGGCTGACAGGGCCACTATTGCCAATATGTCCCCTGAGTATGGTGCAACCATGGGTTTCTTCCCTGTTGATCATGTTACTTTGCAGTATCTCAAATTAACTGGCAGAAGTGACGAGACTGTGAGTGCTTTACCGAATAATTAGTTTCGTAAGTAGTATTCTTTTAAAGATGTGTGACCTCTTGATTAATTTACAGGTGTCAATGATTGAAAGTTATCTGAGGGCAAATAAATTGTTTGTTGACTATAATGAGGTAAGAGCTCCTTAGTATTTTAGTTCTTCTTTAATTATCTGAATCAACCTTTCAAACTTTGTGTGAGATGCATCTGTTGACTAACATTTCTTTATTTCAGCCTCAATCTGAAAGGGTATACTCATCTTACCTAGAATTGAACCTTTCAGAAGTCGAGCCGTGTGTCTCAGGACCCAAGAGGTTATTATCATTCAATTTGTAATTTGCAGTCATTGTTTTTTGTTTTGGGTATATTCATCTATAACTGGTATTCTTGGCGCAGACCTCATGACCGTGTGACTTTGAAAGACATGAAATCTGATTGGCATGCTTGTCTTGATAGCAAGGTTGGGTTCAAGGTAAGTCATTATCCTTAGTGTTTCCTTAAATTTTCTGAATGTTCTTTTTCATTTGGAAAACGAACTTGCCATATTTGCTGATCCATAATGGACTTGAGTAAAGACTATTTGTTAGATACTCTGTTTTTATTTTATTTATTTGAGATAATGCTGCAGTTGCAATTCTGTTTGTTGTGTGCCATCCTTCCTAAAATTCTTGCTGAATGTAGGGATTTGCTATACCAAAAGAGGTGCAAAACAAAGTGGTGAAGTTTCAATTCGAGGGACAGCCAGCAGAGCTTAAGCATGGTAGTGTTGTGATTGCTGCAATCACAAGTTGCACAAATACATCAAACCCAAGTGTCATGCTTGGGGCTGCTCTCGTTGCAAAGAAGGCTAGTGAACTTGGTCTACAGGTGAGGCAATCTTGTAGTTCTCATCAACAATGACCATTTTTTCCCTTTCTTTTCTTTCTTTTGTTTGCAATATAAATTGTGCAAGATAACTCTTTTTGTATATGTATAATCGAATGTTGATTTGCTGGTGACTCAGGTCAAGCCATGGGTGAAAACAAGTCTTGCCCCGGGTTCTGGAGTAGTTACAAAATATTTACTAAACAGGTAGTTTTCTGTTTTTAGAGAATCAAAGTTATTAAAACTAGATACAAACTGTTTATTGAATGTTAATATGTTTGATGCAGTGGATTGCAAAAGTATTTTGATCAACAAGGTTTCCATATTGTTGGATATGGGTGCACAACATGCATTGGGAATTCAGGGGATTTGCATGAAAGTGTTGCTTCTGCTATATCAGAAAATGGTAATGTTGAAGTGTTAGTGTTTATTTTTTCCTAAAGATTATATAATTTGAAAAACTCAAGCATATTTACATGTTACATGAATTAGTTTCTTCACAAGAACTCAAGTCCCATTTAATGAGTTTCTACTGTAGCTCTAGCATGTGGATCTGAAATCCTATCCTTCTGCTGCAGACATTGTAGCAGCTGCTGTGCTCTCTGGAAACAGGAATTTTGAGGGCCGTGTTCATCCATTAACAAGAGCTAATTACCTTGCCTCTCCTCCTTTAGTGGTTGCTTATGCCCTTGCTGGAACGGTATGTCATGCTTGCTTAGGGTGCAATGTATTTGTTTTTTCATGTTCGTGGCTTTATGTTTTTGGTTTTGTGATTCAACTTCATCTATGGACAACAGTTAACCACCTAAATTTGTTTTCCTTGCTTTCTCCTTTATTTGTTTATTCCTTGTATTTACTTTGTTATAGAGATGGATTATTATTTGATGGCGGGGTCTTTCGAGTTCCTTTTATGTGTGCGTGTGCACCCTGATTATAGGAGTTTGCCTCACAAGAAATAATACATTTTTTTTTTATTCTGAAGAATAGGGAAGAATGATTTTATTTACATTTCTAGTGATATGCGAACATCACTGTATTCTGGTCTTGAGGAAAATAGTTTCTGAAACCCTGTCATTCGGAACTCTTATCAGATTTATAATCTCTAAAATAAAAATATATTATTAGATTACTTGGGATATCCCTCGTTCCCTAATCCTTGAATCACTTGCTTGCTGGCATGTTTACGGATTTCTTAACAAGAAAATTGATTAATAAGACATTGTTGGATGTTGAAGCATTGTTAAATAGTATTTACTGCATGTTCTCTTTATCCCACTTTCATTTACTACTATTACAATGCCTTTTATGCTGCGTGAATTTTAATTATGTATTTAGTTATTCTGCCAGCAGTCATCCATCATATGAACCAATCATCGACACGAGTTAATGTTAAATTTCATTTTCCAGGTTGACATTGACTTTGATAAGGAGCCAATTGGAACAGGGAAGGATGGTAAGAGTGTCTATTTCAGGGACATTTGGCCGTCCACAGAGGAGATTGCTGAGGTAAATTAGAATTTTGGATTTCTTGCAAAACTCTAGTAGTATACAAAATTGATTCATGTACGTATATATGGTTTGTAGGTAGTGCAATCCAGCGTGTTGCCAGATATGTTCAAGAGCACTTACGACTCAATTACTAAGGGCAACCCCATGTGGAATCAGCTATCAGTTCCCGAATCCAAACTGTACTCATGGGACCCTAATTCAACCTACATTCATGAGCCCCCATACTTTAAGGGAATGACAATGGATCCTCCCGGTGCCCATGGAGTGAAGGATGCATACTGCTTGTTGAATTTTGGTGACAGTATTACAACAGATCACATCTCCCCAGCAGGAAGCATCAACAAGGATAGTCCTGCAGCCAAGTACCTTCTTGAGCGTGGGGTGGATCGCAAAGACTTCAATTCTTATGGAAGTCGTCGTGGCAATGATGAAGTTATGGCAAGGGGAACTTTTGCCAATATCCGCCTTGTTAACAAGCTTTTGAATGGGGAAGTAGGTCCAAAAACAGTTCACATTCCTTCCGGGGAGAAGCTCTTTGTCTTTGATGCAGCAACTGTGAGTTACCACCGAATATTTGCACAAATTTCTATCTTTTGTTAACTACAGAAAACTATTCACTAAAACTTTTCAATCAATGTTCTGTTTCTATTTCAGAGATACAAGGCTGATGGGCATGACACTATTGTGATAGCTGGAGCCGAGTATGGAAGTGGAAGCTCTAGGGATTGGGCCGCCAAGGGCCCAATGCTATTGGTGAGTTAATTTACACAGCCATTTGAATGAGTTTGCAAGTTTTCGTTATGGAATCTTTTTCTTTGGTTGACTAACTTTTGCCATGCAACAGGGCGTTAAAGCAGTGATTGCTAAAAGTTTCGAGAGAATCCATCGCAGTAATTTGGTTGGAATGGGTATCATTCCTCTTTGCTTCAAGGCCGGTGAGGATGCAGACACGCTAGGATTGACTGGTCACGAACGTTATACCATTGACCTCCCTAGCAACATTAGTGAGATTAAACCTGGCCAAGATGTGACTGTCACAACGGACAATGGAAAATCTTTCACCTGCACTGTTCGCTTCGACACTGAGGTACTTGCTACTTTCATCATCCGTGTATTATATTGCTTTTGTCTAATTTCCGTTTTATTCTAAAACTAAGTAATGTTCGGTGATAATACTGTTCGGTAACACTACTACGTTTTCGTGAGCATGAGCTCGTCATTAAAGATCTCTTTCTAGGTTGCTCATTTGTGATATGGTTGCACTTGCAGGTGGAATTGGAATACTTCAACCACGGAGGCATTCTTCAATACGTTATCAGGAACCTAAGCAAGCAGTAATTGAATCGCGTTGTTCCGAGGACTTGTTATCCATCTCACTGGAAGCGTTTTCAATTGAATGTGAGGAAGAAAATAAAGGCCCTAAAATTATAGGAAACGATCCCTTTCCGCGGGACGGAGGCCATTTTTGGTTATTCATTTTAACACTGCCCAGGTTGTGTAGGCTTGTTGGTTTGTCGGTCTTTCGACAGGGTTAAAAATATAGTTTCGAGCAGTAGAATAATTTTCCGGTTCCGATTGTTTGCTTGTTCTAAAGCATTTAAATATGTACCTTGGGTTTTCAAGGGCACCAAGATTATAGGCAGTGTTGTGCCTTTGAACACGATAAACGACCAATGTGATATTTTGTTCATGGCACATGATGAATCTAACTCCTCCTCAAACCCCACCCAATTATGATAACGAATTATTGCTCGATTTTCATCAAATGTGAATTTGAACACATTATTATTAGTTTATTATGAGGTTTAGCTTAATCTTTCACTCCTTTACTGTGAATAATATTGTTTGTTTGTTCAAGAAAAAAAAAAAACAGCTTGAAGAATGCAGAGATTTATGGTGACTCGTTTTTTGATTTGATATTAACGGGAAGGAAAATAAATGAATAGGTTGTTCATCTTGATTATTGATTTTAAATATAAGGGTGAGTACTCTAAGAATCATCGATTACTATGCGACCGAGAAATGTGACCAAGAGGACAGAATTTTTGAGAAGTGTATGGTACTGTAATATTGTTACGCATTATAACACGAGAAGATTGTTATACCACGCGGTGATCTTGCAACACCATACAATAATTTCTCAATTAGATATTTCGTAATGTTTTCAATCCACTGGTTCAACTTTTTGAGTATTTTTAAGCATTGGTTGCACAATTGGATCAAATCTAAACAGTCTAAAACTAGTGACCGATGATTATTGAATTTGATGTAACGGCTTAAAAGACGTTGGTACTGACGACAAATTATGATTAATTCACCGAATTCATCCAATTATTTTACGGTTAACATGACATATAAGTGTAAACGATGAGTGACTCGTGTCGTCTTGAAGGATTCGAAAAGAAAGGATTTAGTGTAAACGATAGACGAAAGGAAAGAGCACAATCTTGCCCAAATCCATGCCAGAATACGCATCAAATATGCTGTGTGACAATTTGTCAGTTAGCCAAAAACCCAACAGATGCCAAACGGCAAAGCACCCCATATGCTGTGTGGGTCGATTTATCAATTAGCCATACCCAATATATATTTAAATACCTTGATATTAGCTTACTAAAATTGATTGTTATTTATGTCTTACTTTTCTTTTTCCCTTTGATACAATAATTTTAAGGAGAGAAATTGGTTGTAATTAAATATCAAACCCACTATTTATGAGAATTGAACTCGAAATCTTATACTTACTTGACCGTCCATTTATTATTGTTTTCTGTTGCTCCTCACGAACTCTCTAGGTAGGATCGATTACAACCTTGTTATCGGAGGCAATGCATGCATTCTTCTAAATCTAAACTTAAACACTACACTCCAATTTTTTTTATTAGGAGCGATACTCCAATTTATTTTAAAGACCTATTTGTCGATTTGATCCTTGAACTTGTATAGAGCTGCCAATTTTCTCATGAACTTTAATTTAACCAATTACACCCCTTAAACTTTTATAAATAGCCAATTTCCCCCTAGCATTAAATTTTGAAAATTTTCATTCAATTTTTCATCAATCTTGGTCATGCGGACAATACATGGCAACTATATATGGTCAAAAAGGTAATTTTGTTTTGGAAAATTGAGTGCAAAGCCAATAATTTGCAGCTTGTAATTGGACTCTCATAACTAATTCAAACAAAAAGTGTACGGAGTTAGCTAGCGGAAGAGAACAAGACGATGAAAAAAGCAATATGTTGTCCGTATTGGGGATAAAATTACTTATTGCCCTCAAACATTTGCCATGTTACCAAAATGGATAAAAATTTGAATGAAAATTCCAAGATCTAACATCAGAGGGGAAATTGGTTAATTGTAAATGTTCAGAGGATAATCAACTAAAATTAAAGTTTAGGAGGGAAACTCGTAACTCCTTACAAGTTTTGGGAGGAAATTGACAAATACCTCTAGTTTAAATTATAAGGTGGGGGCATCGAACTTTGTGACAGCCTGTCCCGGATTTTTAGCAAGGTGTGAAATGACGGTTTTGCCCCTAGTGGTTATGTTTCGTTGTGTGGTTGTTTTGGGGTTTTGGTTGGCTGCATCTGGACCACACACACACACCCACACTCTCATCCTCAACTTCTTTTCTGTCCTCTGTGTGTGTGTGTGTGTCTCTCTCTCTCCCTTCTACGTTTTAGTACAGACAAGAACCAAAGCACTAAAAAACGTCACGGATCGAAGTAAAGAACTTTACCTTTGTGTTCGTGAGGTTCATACGAGTTCAACCATACCTATTTCAGAGAATTTGAAGCTTGTACGAAGCTTAGTGAGGTCCTTAAGAAGCTCGGGGTGGTTCATTGGAAGGTTTTGGACGTCGGGATCGTGAGTTGCAAGTTTGGCCGGATTTTGTGAAGTTTCTCCGGCGAGATTTCATGAATTTCAGGGCTTGAAAGTGGTAAGGTTTTGTTCTACGTGTTGTAAGCTTCATTTTGGTACAAATTTCATGAAATTTGGTTGAAAATCGAGTGAGAAACAAAGGTTTGAAGTTTTTCCGGCGACGGCGACGGCACCAGAGGTGTGCCGAAGAAAATGACGGAATATTCCTAACGGCGCTAGGTTAACTTTAACGAAATATGTTAGTTTTAACGGAATATACCTGACGGCGTTAACTGACGCCGTCAGCGTGCTTGGCGCATGGCTGCGCGTGGCCGGCGCGTGGGGGGTCAGAAAATTATTTTAAAAATATGGGGATGTTCGTGAGGTTGAGTAGATCATGTTGGTGTATTTATGCACCCCATTTGAGTATTGTTTGAGAAGTTATTACCTAGTTTTGGTTATGTGCTTTAAATTAACGTTTTTATAGTTGTTTTGCATATAGGTGAGACCTATCCCGAGGACGAGCACAGTCACTCGAGGCAAGGGGGTTATGACCCTTCTACATACTAGTGAGTAGGCTTTTGATTTTCCGTATATACCTATATACTTATGATTTTCCCAGAAAATGAAATGAAATGTTTATATGTTTTAAATGCCATGCATTGCGTTTGCCTATTTATTTATGCATTAATGGTTGCATATATGTATGTTTGGTGCTGCGGACGCACATGTAAGTGCTAGGTAAGTTATGGTTTATGTTTATGATTAGCAGTGATGTATGATGCCTAGAGAGCTCATAACCTGCACCCCCGGTGTTAGTGCTCCCGCCCAGAGTAGGGCACAGTCCTTCACGTGATGTTCACCTCCCGCACCACACGCTCATCTTAGATCCAAGTTAGGTACACAGTCCTGTCGTACAGACCATTTTAGGTGGTTCCGACTCGTAGGTGATCCGCGATTATTCGCCTAGTCTTCACGTGATCGTAGCACTTGAGCGTACTTATTTACACTCAGTCCTGTCGTATAGACCATTTTAGATGGTTCCGACTCGTGTGCATGTATAGTTAGTGAGTTGGAGATTTGAGCTCTAGATTCAGCCGTACAGGTCATGTTAGGTGACTCCGGCTGATAGATTACATTGCATTGTTTGACATTACCTGGTTTACTTACATTTTATGTGGAGGCATTCGACATGGCATATTTTTTTAGCATGTTTTCTATATGTGTATATATTCTATTTTCTGGGAAACTATACAGGTTTTACGGCGAGGGGTTAGAACTTTGTTAATGAAATGATTTTGAAAAGTTTTGTTTTTGCCCACTCACAGTTTCTGTTTTGCGCCCCTTCAGGTTCTAGTTTGGGTTGCTCTTTTGGTGGCTCTCGAGGGATTCACGGCATATCTGACAAATTATCACCAGTGTAAGACCCTTGTAGGTGTGTTTTAGTTGGTGTTGTTCCTCTGGACTGCACTAGTTTTCTGTGCTCTGAATATTATTTTTCACACTTATGCTTGCACATGTATGTTAACTACCCTGTGAGTAGCTTGGTTTTTATTTGTTCGTACTTTTATTATTATTCTTAGCTTCCGCACTGTACATATGGTTACGTCACCCTCACGTGACGGCCAGCATGCCCTGATTTCGGTCGGGATGTGTCAAACTTGGTGCAGAGCCAACTGGGTTAAATTCAAATCTGCAACTACCATACTCTTTCAAAAGTTCCAAAAATTAATGGCCTAACTGTCTTGAACAATAATTTGGTTGCAGTTGCAACTTAAAGCAGAAATGAATTAGTAATTTATTCGATGGTTGAACGATCACCTACTTTTCTGATTTGCGCCTTTAACTTATATATGCAACATAAAAGTAGAAACCCAAGTAATTATCGTGAACAAGTAAACCACAAATTTTGGCTTTTGATGGCGAACATATAATGAATCAACTGAACAAATTTGCAGACTTGAAGTTAGTACTAACTCAACAAACAGTAGTACAATGATGGTATGGTGATTAAATACTAACCCAATAGATAGATATATATAGATACAATTAGTGTATATATATACACATATCAATGTTGATCCTCTGGAATGCTCTCTAAAGTTGGCCTCCAGCAACTACTACTGCTTATGCTTTCATCATCACTACTTGTTCCATTAATTTCAGACACCCTAATTCCTCTGGATTTGACAGCATTCAACAATTCCTCCAAAGATGAGTGGTTTGAATCTTTCTTATAATTCAGCAGCTGTTTCAACTCCTCCTGTGTGAGAACCAGTCTAATCCTCACAGCCCCACCAGTTTTAGAATCACCACCATCAACTCTTTTACTACTGTTTTGATGATCTTCTTGTAAATTAAACCTCACAGACTTCTTCTCCTGCTTCAAATTCGACGGCAACGGCATTGCTGTTTTTCTGGCTTCCAGGGTTTCTGCTTCTTTTGCTGCCTCATGCTTCTCATAATCTTGTGATGCAATCTTGTTATTATTTCTCAAACAATTTCCCATAGCTGAGATTTTCTAGAAAAAATGGAGTATTACTTGAGAGAGAGAGAGAGAGAGAGAGAGAGAGAGAGAGAGAGAGAGGTGGTAGGGGTTATAAAATAGATTTCGCATTAGTATATATAGATGGAGAACCGGAGAAGGGCGAAACAAAAGCACATGAGGTTGCGTTTGTTGCGGCGAATATTTTGAAGGAAAAAGTGGGATTAACATTTAATTATTGCTTGAGAACAACACTACACTTCCTCACATAAATTAATTAAGCGATTCTCGATTTCTTATATTTCTAGAATTGTGAAAAATATTCTAGCATACTGCGGCATATGTG